ATATGCCTGCATGGAATTCCTCATCCACGTGGTTGGTTCTTGACAATATCTCCCAGCTTTGGGAAAAGAAGCACTATTGTGCTCATTGCACCAGTCCTGATGATTAACTCATGGAGGAAAACAGGAGATGGAAGATGTGAGACCCCAAAAACTTCTAAGCAAATGAGTGTTCTCAAGACTTTGCTTCCTTGATGGAGCCAGCATGTGAGGCTTCTTAAAGAGAGAGAGACATGCTGCTTGGAGTAGATATTCTCCTCGGGACCTCTTCCTCCTAAGCTGCTCCCCTTCCTCCAGTGTCCCTACTAGAATCAACCAATGCATCCAGAGCCTGGAGTTGGGAGCCTGAGCCACTCATTCCCTCCCTGCCTCCACTTCCCTCACCCCAGCTGCTGCAATGGAACTACCCCTGATGGTACCTCAGTATGAGTCTCCAGCCTCCGGAACTCCACAGATGGGGGCAGCAGCAAAGTTATCCTGCCTTCACCCACCACCCTTCACAGCAAGAAGGGCGGTGGGAGAACTCTGGGGTAAATCAGAACTAGAAGAAGAGATCAACTTCGAGAGATATTGCAGTTCTTTGGATGCACATCCTGGGGGCATGTTCCCCACCCAGGGCACACCAGGCAGGACAGTGTAGTGAGGACACTGCCCTGGAAGTTGGGGACCTGAGGCCAGTTTCTGTTTCTGCTGCCAAGGTGCTGTCTGACCTTGGGACTGCTGTGACCTTCAGTCTCCTTGGGAAATATATAATGGGAAAATGATGGAAGTTCCGTTCCATTACTTGGTTCCTTCCATTCCTTGAGTTCAAAGTAACTGTCTATATCTTTTACATATTGAAGTGTTTTGCTTGGCATTGAAGGTACTTCTATTTGGGCCTACAGTTTTCTTTTCTGTGCCATCCCTCACCTCCTCCCAGTCACATGGAAGAACTTGTTATTTTCAAAATACCCAGTGCTCTACCATGAGCGTCTACTTCTCTTTCTCTTTCTGGACATTTTTTTTTTAAAATCTGAATTGGCCTTCCCACATGCCTAGTAAAAAACACCTATTTATCATTAAAAGTTCTCCCAAGGTAATCTTTGCTCTTAAATCTTCCCTGATTTTTCCCACTCCACCCCTTTTCTCCCATTGTTTTCTAATAACCATCTTCACCTGTGTTGCGTTCCTATCAAGGTCCGGTTTGTATTACAACTGTAGGGGCTGCTTCTGGAAAGAGAATTCTCAGCACTTGGATCTAAAACAGAATCCTTGAATTAACTGCTTAGATCTTCTCAGTAGAAGACACAGTCTGTGGCTCTGGTGGAGACTGCAGAATCCCGGCTCCCAGCTCCCTCAGGTGTCCTGCTTTCCTCTCTTATCAGTTGTTTTCTTGCTTTCTTTCTTCACCTGAAAATATGTGTTTTTTTATTTTTTTATAGAGAGAGGAAGGGAGACGAAGAGATGGAAAGAAAGAAACATTGATGTGTGAGAGTAACATCAATTGGTCATTCCCCTATATTCCCCTCCCAACACACAACCCGACCAGGGATTGAAGCCATAACTCAGTATGTGCCCTGACCAAGCATTGAACCCGTAACCTTTTGGTGCACGGGATGATGCTCTAACCAATCGAACCACCTGGCCAGGTCTATCAGCACTTTTGTTTCACTTAGAAATCCAGGTCAATAATTAATGGCACTGTGATAAGCTGTCAGAAGAGCTGGCACAAGTGGGTTACCCTTAAATAAGGAAAGGAGTACTGGTGCTGGCCCTACAAGGGAAGGGCAGGGTGACTTTCCTAAAATGGGTGGAACCAAGGAGACCACTGAATTACCTATCCTGAAAGGTAATTAGGTCTTCTCCCAAGTCTCTGTCTTCCCTCAGACACCTTGAGCAATATCTGACCTCCTTTAAGAAGACCCAGGGTGGCACTTGGGAGGGAAAGGACATAGGGAAGATGCACTCTGTCCTTGGGGCTGAGGAAAACTGATAGTGTCGGGAGGCATAGAGTGAGAGGGAGGAGACGGGGCCCTTCTCTGTGTGCTCTAGAGACCAGGCTATTGACTGCACCTGGTGGGCTCACATACAGGTCAGAGCCGCCCTCTGGGAAAGTGCAACTTGTACTTGGTTGGCCTCAAACAAGGGCTCAGATATTGGAACCCCTTTCTTCCCCAGTTCACACTGTTGGATGGATGGAAGTGAAATGGGCTTGGAAAGAGAAATGGGAATAATAAAATGGGAATCATCAACAGGAATGATAACCTGCACAGCCTTGAAAGCATTTTACACTTTTTTTCCTTGGCTCTAAGAGGATTTCAGAGATTAATTTCCAGGAGGGGGAAAAATGTTCTTCACTTTCCCACCTGCACCTGGGATCAGGCCAGTCACTGATGTGGCTTCATAATGGCCTGTGGTCTTGGGAGCCTGCCTTGAACACTCCAGTTTATCCTTTCTCCTCCCTTTTGTGCTTCTTCATCTGCACGTGAATGAACTTTGTCTGGTCTCTTCTGTTAATCTGACTTTCATCAGTTAATTCACAGGCCCTCAAGCAGGAACCTAAATAGGTATAAAAATTTTTCCTCCCAACACCACTCAAGATGATAAGAGCACTATCTAAGGACTAAGACAAACAAAACATGGGTGGAGGGTGAGGTGGTGGGTGAACTACAGAAACATAAAACTAAAAGCTCACGCTATGCTATGGCTTCCTTAGCCCCACTGCTACTTTCAAACTTCTATACTTTAGCAAATAATGTTGACTCGACTAAAAGATGTCTTGGCTATCACAGGGCAAGACAATTTTGAAATTTGATTTAAAATTATTCTGTTCATTCTACCACGGTCCCTTTCTTCTCTCCTCTACCTCTTTCCTCCTCTCTCCAGGATTTCAAAACTGCCTGCTATTTTAAGCTCATGTTTTTAGCAAAACCAAGGTCTGCCTATTACTTGACTCCACCCCTGTAAAAAGCAATTCAGAGATCACCCAATGTTATTTAAACAGTTTCCTTTGCACAGAACCTCAACACCACTCCCTATGAACAATCACTGACCTACCATTGATAGATGCGTTCTAAGCACTACTTGAAGGGCTTTGCACATCTGACCTTATTTCAGTGTAATAACAAATCTAAAATCCCCCAAATAATGGGGATATTATTATCCCCATTTTAGAAACAAGGAAACTGAGGAGCAGGGAAATAAGTCAAGTTGTGTAACTTGCCCAGCTCTTAAGGTGCTAAACTACAATTTGGATGGAGACAGTCTCAATCCAGAGCATGGACAGCCTTCACCCTGAGGCCAGTTCCTCCCTGAGTGTCCCTGGTGTTGGAGCTGTGGCCCCAGCACCACAGTTCAGAGCCAGTGAGTTTGTCAGCTATTTTAGGATAAATATATTCAAGAGGAAGAAACTTCATGTTTTTTATGTTAAAGCAGTTACTGAAGAGGCACGTGAAACAGAAACAGCACCTTCATGTTGGGATGTGGAATTACTAAGCAGTTAGCTGCAGTGAATGATCAGCCCTTTCAGAATGGTTTTGAAAAGATGAGCCAGTGAACAAAAGAGGGAAAACTGTGGGAGTTGCCAATTAACAATGAAGGAGGTTTGGATGATGGTTCAGAATTTAATAAACATAATTTCTGGATAAATACCTGCAATATTTTCCAAAACAAAGACCAGTTCACTACTTCATGGAGCTGCTGACTGTGGCCTGTTAGGGTCACCAAAGGAGAAGCACATGGAGCCAAAGTGGTAAGGGATTCTAAAATTATTAGGTCATCTGGATACCAGATGGGCTGAGCCCCCAAATGGTGCCAGCACACAGGGACAGGGAGTCAGAGATTTTAAAGGACTCTAGTTGGGCTTTTTCTGGGCAGAGAATTCTCTGGGTGGTCGGGATCCTAGGAAGGTCTGGAGGGGAGAGATAATGGTCACAGCAAGTGGAATGTGGTCTAAGCAAGAGGGAATGTCCATTGTAAAGTGGCCTCAAGGTCAGCTTCCAGGGGAGGGAGTATCGATTCAATGATTTGATTAGAACTAACATGGCCTTTCCAAAACCCATATCTGAATGTTAAATAGAAAGTGAAACACAGTGAGTGGTATAGAAGTTATTTTAATGAAAAACAGGACATTCTGAAAGAAAGTGACATACAAACAATACTCTTTAATGGAAAAAAAATGGAAGTTTTTATTTTAAGCTGTTGGAGATTGATATTAGAACTAAATAAAATAATTTTCCTAGAAAAAAATAATAAATCTAGAGCATGGAGGGAATTTTGCTATTTCTCACTCAAACAGTATCAAAATTATCGCAACAAAAAGAGATCTCTACCTAGGAGGGAATTCTGCTGCTAAGAAACTTGATGCTCTCTATTTTTTCTCTGAAAGAGAATTTGGGTTTTGATTTATCTTCAGTTTCTCTACTTAACTCTGACCTACAGGATGAGTGGTCACTGAAGATAAAAATTGTCACACACTCACCTCAGGAATGTTGAAGTGGCCAGAACTGGGTGAGGCCATGTAGAGGCTTCCTTCTTACCCAAACTGTTCAGGCACTCTCCCCTCCTTCTCCAGATCTGGGAAGCCTGCCAGCTAGAGACAGCTGGATACCTCTCCTACTTTCCTCAGGAGAGCTGCTGTTAGGAGATTGGTAATTCTGGTCAAAGCCACTCCAGGACTCCTGGGGAGAGAGAGGACCTCTCTTTCCCCCCACTCTCTTGATTACATATTATGTGTACTTTGCTAACTTCCAAGGGCTATTTGGTGAAATGGCTCCCAAAGAGATAACAAAGACTTGGTTGGGGTTTGAGCATCAGGGCCTTAGTGACTTTCCCTGCTACCCCTATGAACCAGCAGAGAGATGAGATTCGAATGGCAAGAAAGACTCCTATAGGCAGACTCATTCCCCCCAGCAATCCTGGAAAGAGGGGAGCCTGGGCCAATCCCCACTGTCCTCCTGGTTGCTCCTCCCACCCTTCTCATCTTGGAAGCCAAGCCCCTTTATAATCTCATAAGCTCCACTCCCCAGTGATCCAGTGACTGCAGAAACTAGCCTTTCACTTAAGCTTGCCTGGTATCCAAGCTAGAGTCCCAGGTAAGAGACCCAAGAGGTGGTCTTGGGAGCAGATTCTGCTTGAGGTCTGGAGATAAGGGAGGCAGAGTGGGCAAGGCTAAACCCTAAGCTTGGGCTAGGGCTGCAAATGTTGCTGGTGGCAGAGCTGGGATGGGAGTGAGCATTCTGGCTGCAGAGAACACATGGGGCTGGAGAAGGAGCAGTTCCAGGTCGGGGAGGCAAGCATCTCTCTTTGGAATACAATGGCATCTCTTTATGATGCCAGTGCCAGGCACTGGGTTGAGTTTCCCTAGTGTTGTAGGACAACGGAGCTCTCTCCGCCATGACCCTGTATGTCATGACAGTAACCGCGATACAATTTGGCTCATGGTTTATACAGAAAGATCTTCTATTGACCCACTAGAACACTGAGTATAAATGTATTTTAGCCTTAGCTAGTTTGGCTCAGTGGATAGAGTGTCCGCCTGCAGACTGAAGGTTCCTGGGTTCAATTCCAATCAAGGGCACGTGCTGGGGTTGTGGGCTCCTGAAGGGAGACTGTAAGCCAGGGAGACCACTGGTGGCACCTGGGTTGTCTACTAAAGTGATGCTTTTCCTCCTCTCTCCCTTCACTGACTAGGCTCCTCCAAGGGACTGAGGCCACCATGGCTCAGGAGAAGTCCCTCATCCTGTTCCCACTGTTAGTCCTGGTGCTGTTAGTGCTGGGGTGGGTCCAGCCTTCCCTGGGCAAGGAATCACGGGCCATGAAGTTCCAGCGGCAACACATGGACCCAGGCGGCCCCAGCAACAACTCCAACTACTGCAACCAAATGATGAGGCGCCGGAATATGACAAAGGGATGGTGCAAGCGAGTGAACACCTTCGTGCACGAGCCTCTGGTAGATGTCCAGGCCGTTTGCCTCCAGGGAAACATCACCTGCAAGAATGGGGAGCCCAACTGCCACAAGAGCAACTCCAGCATGAATATCACAGACTGTCATGAGACGAGTGGCTCCAAGTACCCCAACTGTGACTACCAGACCAGCCACAAAGAGAGGCACATCATCGTGGCCTGTGAGGGAAACCCATACGTGCCCGTCCACTTTGATGCTTCAGTAGAGGTCTCCATCGGAGATCAGAGCAGTGAGATGCCCCTCGAGTCATCTGTCTCTCCCTCATCCTTGCTACCACTGAGGGAAATGACTCAAGGTAGGGCTGCTATGCAACACAAAAGTGTTTCCCTGGCCTGAGACTTGTGCCTGCGTGGTTTGGGGGGTGTTGTGAGGTGGGAACCATGTGAACCACTTTACTGCTTCTTTCAATAAAACTCAGTTACAACTACCTGGCTTCCTGAAGCTGTCTCCATTCAGGTTACTGTTAATGTGATTGCTTTCCTGCCAGAAGGTGAGAACTGTAAATCTGGTTAACTTTGGTGAGCAACAAGTAGAATCATTAAATGCCCCCTCTTCTAACTTGGCTTTTAGAGAATTCTTTTTGGAGATAATCTCTTTTTCAAGTAGATTCCTTGATGCCAAACATAAAATTTTAAGTGTGGAAGAAAGACTATTCCATGGTATGATTCCTGTCCCATGAACTGGACCTGGGCCAGAACAGAGATTGCTTCCCATAAATCCCCCTTAGAGACTGTCAGGTCATAATTGATGTCCTTTCTGAAATAAATCAGGACCCCTCCCCCAACTCCAGTGACTTGCTCCTTCCTGGAACAGGCCATTGTCCTGATCTGGTCAAGCATGTAAACTAATTTCTGTGCCTGGTATCATTCATGTATTATTATCCCTGATTATCCCCCTACCCCTTTTAGCCTAAGTAAATTCATTGGCACCTGCCAGGTGTCCCAGGGATCCATTCTGTCTCACAGCCACCCAAGACAGGCCTTGTATGTAAGTTTCCCTTAGTGAATTCTATTAATTACCAGACTGGAGTGACCAGCCTCTTTCATTGGTCTTTCCTTGCCCTCCCCTTAGGGAAGTAGGTTTTCAGGCCCAGGACCTTTACCTGGGTCTGCATGTACTAACAAGTGTGGGCTGGTTAGATAAAAGCGTGCTGCAGAGGACACTGCTGATGAGTGAACATAGAGAAGGAGAAGGCCAAACACTAAAATCTCTGACCCAAAAGGAAAGACAGCCTCAGGGTGGGGAGAAGGAGGAGGAGTAATAAATGTTTTCTTTTCTTTTCTCCTTTTCTTTTCTTTTGTCCTTTTCTTTTCTTTTCTTTTCTTTTCTTTTTTCTTTCTTTCTTTCTTTCTTTCTTTCTCTTTCTTTCTTTCTTTCTTTTCTTTTCTTTTCTTTTCTTTTCTTTCTATCTTTCTTTCTGTCTGTCTGTCTATTTTCTTTTCTGAGTGAGCCACTAAATCAGAAAAATAGCCATCTCTTACTTGGAAAATTGGAACCTTCCATTTAGGAGCTAGAAGGGATTTTAGAGGTAAAATAATTAGATTTCAACTTGTGAACAAAGTTTAATTGGAAGTGCCTATTTGGACTGCTATAGAAGAACTTCTAAGCCATAATGTAGTTGAACAGTAGCCTCTGCGGAAGGCAGGAGAGAAGTAAGGATATACATACCTCCCATTTGCCTCCCCTGTTCTATTGTAACCCCTGCTTTCTACAGAGGAACAAGCTGAATCTCAGAAAGGTTAAGTGGCTTGCTCAGGGCTGCCGCTAATTAGTGGCACAGCTGGGAGTAGACCCTAGGTCTCCTTGCTTCCCAATCATCCTTTCTGCCACCAGAGTCAACTCAAGAAAAAAATTCTGAGTCTTCCGGCTTCACTACATGCTGTGGACTTGTGGCTCTTCCTGAGCTGGTGGCTCTCACAGATTCCCAGGGTACTTGGCCTGTGAGTCTGTTTAGTTCTTGGCAAAGCTTCCTTACATTTCTTGGACAGGCTCAGCTTCTGTCATCACTTAGTCATTTTATTTGTTCCTTTTTTTTACAGCTGTATCTGACTCTAGACAAGGTCATAGGGAGAGAGAGGCCCTAATTCCAATCAGTTTCACCACTTCTGTCATTGTATTTATATACTACATTTATAAATGTTGGAAATGGCTATTTTTCTCCTGTAAACTAAATTCTTAGCCTTGGGAGCTTCTATATATGGAGGAAGCCTGCAGGTGAGAGTGGTCAGATATACCTGCATTTCTGCGGCAATGGGAGTCTCACTCCTTACCAGCAATGAGGATGCAGGAGGGGGGAAAAAAGGAAACTTTAAGTTTTTAGATTTTTTTTTCTGGAAACAGAATTTTTCTTATCTCACCCTTCTTCCCAAGCCTGAAGCTCCTCAGTTTTCCTCTTTCTTAGTGGAACTTCTAAGAATGGTGACTTGGTGTTTTGCTGCATTTGTAACTGCATATCACCACCTCTGTTTTCTGGGTCTTTGTGCTTCCTGGGTGTTAACTGGAAGATAAAAAGCAAAAATGAGATGAAAAAAAAAATGAGAAGCAATACGCATTTATTTAAGATACAAAAGAACTGCAATTTGGGAGAAAAAATTCAGGCAGAAACCCATATAGTGTTCCCCCTTTATAGGGACTCAGGGTGTTATGGGGAAAAGGGAGGAAGATGAGATAAGTTGTATTAAAGAAGATTTATTGGTACTAGATGAGGTAGGGTTAGATTTGTACTTCATGGGTTGGCTTGAGATTCACCTGAAATTTAATTCATTGGTTAGAAATTTGGTCATTCTCAAAGTCTAATTTCATCAGTCTTTACAAATAGGATAGTCTTGGCCTTCTTGGAATTATGATGGTTTGGTCCAGCTTGTTAGATAAAGAAAAATAAGACGTGCAGAGCAGTTCCTCTGAAATGGCTACTGAGGCTCTATTTTAATATGGCTCCACTCATGTTATCTTTCACGTGGATTATGAGACTGCTCAGACCTCCATCTGTGGAATAAAGTGGTAAGTGACAACAGATGATCCAGGTTCAGACTTGCACAGCCAGCAGCCAATGGGAAGGAAAGTGGTCTGAAGAGGTGAAGACTGGGAGAAGAAAGATGGGGTTCTGTCTTGGAGGGGTCCAGTTCAGTCAAGAAGAGAAATAGCCATCAGGAGACAAATCAGAGGTCTCTGTTCTGTGGGGAGCTTATTGCTACCCCACAGAAAAAGGTGTACTAGTTCCTCCTGATGTTGATGTCAGAATTATACCTCAGTCCTTGACTTCAGCTAAAAAAGAATTCGAAGCCAAGAACTGAAATGCAAGCAAATGTTTATTTAGAAAGTCACAGGGGTAGAAGAAATGAGGCAAATGTGCTGCATGACTTAAGAAACAAATTACAGTGGCAAAAGAAGGGCCCTTGGAGCTTAGGAGAAAGAAAGGTAAAGATAATGCACCTGAGGGAAGATGGGGAAAGACACCATTATGCGCCAGAGAGAGTGTGTCTGGGGACAAAAGGGAGTGTGGAGAGTTGTGGGTGTACTCAAGAGAGGAAGAACACTTGCTGGGTTCTTCATCTTAAGGGTTTTTATTTGTTTTCTAAAGGTGGGGATTTTAGGGGAGGTCTCATGGGAGGATCTCAATAGCATATTCAGCAGCTTTCCAAGGGTGTCCTTTCAGGGTCATGGTCTCTACTGATTGACTGGTGCTAGGGTAGGAGATCCTGATGTCAGCCATGTTGTTGCTTCATCTGGTTTTGCTGCTTTTCTGGGCCTGAAGTTGAAACTCAACTGAGGTCTAGATGTTATCTCTAGTTTAACCAAAATCTCTCTCTGGTCAACAGATCCCAGTCTTTGATCCTAAGATTATTAGATGGGGGTCAAAACCTCATTGTTATGGGGGCTTAATGCTTAAGGCAATGGTCATGCAAGGGCTGGTATGGGAGTTGTATGATTCTATTCTCTGGCCCCTTTGTTCCTCTTCTAAAGGGGGTCTAAATTGCATGATTAATTATATAAAAGGTCAAAGGGTCTAAACTGCACGACTAGTGACATGCTAGGGAGGAAAAGTCACCTTGGGGGTAAGGTCCAAGCCTATAATACTTGTTTTCTCTAGTTTTGTCCCTTGTTAGGCACCCAGGGATTTCCACTCTGGCCTTTGGTTCCTGCTCTGCTCATGCCTGTCTAGATGCCTACTCAATTACCAGAAGACTAACCCAGGCAAATTAACATTAAAATGGAGGTACTAACATGGGAATCTGCTTACAGGCTGAAATAATCATATCCAATGAAGAATAATGTTAATTTTCATAATATTCTTTAAACCAAACAAGCTTCAAAAATTCTACATTCTCAGTACACAGATAAACACATATTAGTGTCTCAGCTCTTCTTTACCCCTGCAGCTTTAAGTGTATCTGATATAGTAGGCAGTTAGACAGATATGACCAGAGTAGAAACTACAGGCCAGGTACAGAAGGTTACCAGGATAGAAAGTGCCAGGTGCCTAGCAATGGGGGAAACTTCGTAAACAAGTATTGTATGGTGGGACTTCACCCTCAAGGTGACCTTTCCTCCCCTGGCATATCATTGGTAATGTAGTTTACACATCCTGACCTTTCATATCTCTGGTCAAGCAGTTCAGATTCTCCCCTGAACTTACACCCCTTGGAATGTTGCTAGTCATGAGGGAGACAGAACAAGGAGGCCAGAGAATAGCATCATACAACTTCCATATGACCCTTGTATGACCATCCCCTTAAGCATTAAGCCCCCAGAACAATGAGGTTCTGACCCGAATCTAATAATCTTAGGAACAAAGCCTTGGATTTGTTGACCAAGGAGAGAGTTTTCATCAAACTAGAGATAACATCTAGGCCTCAATTGTGTTTCAGCTGCAGGCCCAGAAAAGCAGCAAAACCAAATGAAGCAATGACATCCTGGCTTTGGGACCAGATGCAATGACTAATGATCTCCTACCCTAGTACCAACCAATCAGTAGAGACCACCACCTTGAAAGGACACACTTGGAAAGCTGATGAATATTCTGCTGAAATCCTCCCCTGAGACCTCTTCAAAAATCCACGCCTTTGGAAAATACATAAAAGCCATCAAGATGAAGAAGGACCAGGTCTCTCTCTCTCTCTCTCTCTCTCTCTCTCTCTCTCTCTCTCTTGCCCACACCTTGCCCTATCCCCTTCCTCCCTCAGGTGCACTCTCTCTCTAGAGCACTCCCAAGCCTTTCCTTCCCCCTTTCTTCCATCAGGTGCATTGTCTTTGATTTCTTTCTCCTAAAGCTCCAAGGCCCTTGTTTGCCTCTGTAACTTGCTTCCTGAGTCCATGCAGTCTAGCTGGCTTACTTCTTCCATGGGTCACTTTTTTTACCCTGTGACGTTCTAAATAAACTTTTGCTTGTACTACAGTTCCTTGGCTCTGAATTTTTTTTCTTAGCAAAACTCAAGGACCAAGGTGCAACATCTGGTGTCGTTCACTATTTACATATCCACAAAATTATACAGTTTTCTGCTCTTCTGGTCTGCTGATTCTCTCCTGCCTCTCTATGTGGTAAATTCTTTCTTCATTTCCAGTGGCCAATAGTCCCTAAGTCCAGTATTAAATCCACAATTAAAATGAGTCCTTCAATTAACAGTAAGTGATCGTCATATCAGATTCCTTCTTTCCCAGAGCTGCCTCATCAGTATTTGCATGTTGACCTTTCTCTCTGTGAAATGAAGGCCTGCTCCCAATCCCCACGCTTGCCTCCTTAGTCTGAGTCAGATCTCACAGAGCAAGTGGGATCACTAGGGGTTCTGAATCTATTCAGTCATGCCGAAAGCTCTTTAATATTGTTTTTGGAAATTGATCATGAATGTGGGACAGCTCTCCACATGCACAACCCATGATTTATGATGCCGGTCCTACCTAGAAGGTATGTTACCAGTACAAGGTTTGTGTGCCCAATGTTTCAAAAATAAGGCCAATATTTAAAACTTTCGTTTGAAGTAAGTGAAAGATTCATTGATCAAGAAGACCCAACCCTAACAGGTTTGGCCTGAAGGGTCCCAGGTTTGATTCCAGTTAAGGGCATGTACCTTGGTTTCGATGTGTCCGAGGCAGCTGATCAATGTTTGTCCGAGGCAGCTGATCAATGTTTCTCTTTCATGGATGTTTCTAACTTTCTATCCCTCTCCCTTACTTTCTGTAAAAAAAAAAAAAAAAAAAAAAAAAAAAAAAAATCAATAAAATATATTTTAAAAAATAATATACTTATATTAAAAAAAAGTCCAGTTCAAGAAGATAGGGTGGTGGAGGGGTGTTGAGGAGTGCCTTATATCTTCTCTGAATCCATGTTAAGAGAATCCAGAATTCAGGTGTCTATGTCAAGGAAAGGGAGGAATGGCAGTTGGGTGAGGGTCTTAGACAGTTAGGCATGACTGGGATCCAAGAAAGAGCAAGAACTTTCTAAATCCTTTTGTTCCCATCAGTCCCCTGACCCCCAACTGAACTGAGTCTGGTCTGGAGACTCCTGTAAATCTTTGATGAACTGTCATTACTTTGTATATATTTCCTTACCTCCTTGGAAAAGTCTCCTCCTGACAAGTGGCTGCTCTTATAAAAACTCAAACCTTAAGCAGAATTCCTCCAGTTAATTAGTATATCTATAGTGGGAGATATTAGCCTGAAGGCCATGGGAAAAATGCAGATTAGAATTAAGATATCAGAGAGAGCAAGCATTTCACTGTTTCAAGTACAAAATGAAAGTGTATATCTTGAAGACTAGACAGTGGCACACCTGGCAGCATATCAGCACTGTTTCCCAGGAGCAACTTCCTGGGTGACAAATCCCAGAAGGTCTGCAATTCATCCAGTGAATTCACATGTACTTTGGGTTTCTTTGTGGTTTGCAGTAAGTGTAGGTGGAAAGGTGTTTTCTCACCATCCCCCCTCCATGCTTATCTTCTTTCTCATTCCTTTAAGGTCTTCTTAATTAACAATTAACAACAAATAAGGCATCATTCATCTGAATGGTCATAGTACCACTGTTATATACCTTAAACACCAGGTTCTTGAGTCTCCATGTCATAGAAATAAGCACTGAACTCTGTACAAGATCAGGCATATTCATTTTTTGCAAACAGCTTGTACACAAGGGAGGGACCAGTAAAGAGAAGTTGAGCTATCTAAGGGGTTCTTGTGGGTGGCTTATATAGGGACCTTAGTGTAGATGTAGGAATTGGGAATGAGGAAGAGATCAGTTATCCATGATCAATAGTCACTTGGCAGTAGTTAATCCCGGGGAACCACAAGAATTTTTCCATGGTCAGTGGGCCACTTGGAGGGCATGTGAAATAATGTTTGCACAAATATTCTAGTTACTGATGCAGGTTGCGGGTACAAGTACCTGAGGGTCCGAGACCCACTATGGGTTCTCAACTTCACACAGGAAAGAATTCAAACACAAGCCAGCACAGAGTTTAAAGTGAAAGTGAGTTTACTGGTGAAGCCATGAGACAGAATGAGTACTCCACAGACAGAACAGCCCTCTTTACAAGAATTGCTTCCTGTATTAAGGTTCATTTAATCAGGGGTTGGATATTCAATAAGAGAGGAAATATTCAGGATCTACTGGGGAAAGGGGTGGAGATTTCTCAGAGGCGCTCTGTCAGACATTTTGTGTTCTTTTATGGGCTCTCCATGACTGATTAGGGCAGCTCAGGGTGCGTTGTTTAGTATGCTAATGTATTAAAATGATTGCATTATGAAGGTAGGGATTACTGTTAGGTGAAACTAATCTCCATGTTCTGATACCCTTGTCATAATCTGGTTATTAGGTAACAGAAAAGGAGTAAAAGGAAGACAAGATAATATAGGCATGCCCTTTATACAGCCTTGCTAGATAGCTGTAATTTAACATTCTCTAAATTTGTTTTCCACAGATCAATGAGTAAGGGACTGGACAAAAGCATTTTGGACACATGCCAGTAAGGTCTAAGTGATGTAGGAAGGTGCTTATCTGTCAGTCACACCAGGGAACAAGTTAGTGGCCAGAATAGGAGGGCCCACTGCAAATTTGAGAAACCTGAATATTTAAACTCCTGGACAAAGGAGCCCTCTCTCTTGGTCCTTGGCCCTTGGCCCTCTAGCTTTCTTTTTTTAAAAGAATTTTTGTGAGTTTATTTAGGCCAAATTGTCAGTAATTGACGGGAAGCAGGATCTCAACATATTGGGATAATGCTCCACAGAATGGTGGTCTTTCTCCTATTTTATAACTTACCATCAAAGATGGAGACATAAGTGGGTTAAATGAAATCCATTGGTGATAGATTAGGGAAGTGAGAGAAAGCAACCTTTAACCTCTTAACCTCTGGAATGGATAAAAAGTAAAATGATAGACACATGCTTCTTTTACATAGATGGGTATAGGATAGTTAACAGTCAAAGATTAACACGATAACAAAAATAAGGAAATTTGTAGTCTGCACCCAGGTGCCATTTGTTGTGCCCTGAGGGATCCAGAAAAGGGAAGTTACAAGTTGCCCTGACATTCCACAGGTGTGTTACCTTAGATGCAAAAAGACAACAGGCTCAGTAAAAACAGAAGTTGATCTTTGTCAGGGAAGATACTAGCCTAGAACATGACTACCCACTATGAACTTTCTATTTTTATTTTTTTAATATTTTTAAATTGAGGAAGAGAAACATAAATAATGAGAATCATTGATTGGCTGCTTCCCTTTTTAATTGTTTTTATAAACTGCTTTTTAAAGTTCTTAATTTCAGACCATCCTTTAGGTAACTTTAGGTCTCGAGTTTGCAAGGCGACCAGGCAGGACTTCCCTGAGTTAGTCAGGTTAGCATGCGGTCCCTTTTCATCCAGTCTGCAGACTGGCATACCTGAAATGGGGAGCCACAGTTCTGAATTCTGATTCTCTATTAATACTTGCCTTTTCTCCTTAAAAATACTGTGAATTCCACACAATTCCTGGCTAAGAAAATTTTTGTTTTAAGAGATCTTTGCAGGGCACAGGGAGAGGAAGACAAGGCTATTAAATATGTGAAAGCTCTGAACTAAAATTTCTATTTGGGAATGAGGTAAGAGGACTGACATTTAAGTGCAAAAAAGGGGACACTGGGCAGATCAGAGCCCTGGGGAGGGCGGCGGGTGTTTTAAGGAGCGTGGTGTGAGCTGGGGTGCCAGGCGCAACCCATTACAAGATACAAATCTGTAAAGAAAAGGTGGTAACTCAGTCTTCGCGTTTCTGCCCACTCAGCTGGAGAACCAGGTAACAACACACCGACTCAATTGCTTTCATAACTAGCGCGACAGGGAGCCGCAAGGACCCCATTCAAGCCATTCCGACAGAGCCAGTCTAGATTTGCGGGTTTCCACCCAGTCTGATTGCTGCCATCTACTCTTGCCCCGGGTCTCAAATTCGTCCAAACTAAAAGCTGGACGATCGGTGATAAGATCAGCGATACAGCAGGTTATCTCCAGCTTTGAGCTCTTTTCTCTTACATCTTTAATAAAAGTCCTTCCAATCCCTTAGTTTTCAGGACACATAGACAATCGAGCAAACGGCAGCGGGATCCCTCTAGCTTTCTTGGGACTCCTGTTGCATGGGGTGCATCCTCCTGCATTCCTTAATGTGGCCCATGGCCACGTTGTCTCTACACAATCGATTAATAGACTGAATCTCCTTGATCCTGAACTGTGCCTGGCTGCATCATGGAACAGAGGCCCTGAACACTGGCCCTGCTTTTGGGTCTGCTGGACCCCCAACTACACCTCTTTCAGGACTGTGTTAAGAGGCATGGGACTTTGCAACCTGAGAAACATAATTCCAATAAAAATAACTCATCCTTTTGTGAGAGTCTTAGAAAATTCATTTTCTGAAGCTATAGCAAGAGCCACCCCATCCCCTAGATTCACAAAAATCTGGCCCACTAATTTCTCCCAGAACAGTTGGAATAAGCTGTTCTCTGCTGGTTTTAAGCCATAAATCTGGTGGAAGGTGGTTTTACTATCTTCTTGACAGTTCCTGTAGCGTTTATCAATTAAAGTTGTTTTGCCACAAATACTATCTTATTATCATTTAATTGATAAAACATCTATTTTGTAGAACATGACATTAAAAAAGGATGTATAGTTTTTGTACATTCTTTCTTTTTGTTACAGATCCAAGGTTGTTCTTGATGCTTCAACAGAAAAGCCAATATTCAAGACATCAGAGTTTGGAACAAGGAAAGATTTATTGATCAAGAAGGCCTATCTCCAAAACTTATTCTCAAATCCATCTTAAAAGAGTGTGAAATCCAGGTGGCTTTTAATGTCAAGGGAAGGGAGGAAGGGTGACACAAGGGGTGGGTGCTGGTCTTAGACAGGTAGGCATCTAAAAGGATTCTAGGAAGAGTGTGAAATTT